TTGTCAAAACTAAAGGAGTCGCTAGCTTGAGATTGTGAAGCAGCCATTGGAGAAGGAATGAAGCTTTTCAGGGTTACGTAACAAGGAAGCAAAAGATGAATAGTGAATCGTGAAAGAGATGCAAAAAATATAAGGCGTGGTTTGGTAGCAGTGAAATTGCGTGTTTGGGGTTTATAAGGGTTTGCAAAACGACGCACCTTTTCAAGTTATAGAAGGAAACAATGATTGATATACTTGAGAATTTCGAACGTTGCTGGAAACACAAAGTGAATATGGCAAAATTCAATAATTATTATTAATTCTGCCATATTGGGGGGTAATTGTTGACACATAAAAATTCAGCCCAAATCGAACGGCCCAAGAGTAAAGCCCAATTGGAGGATCCCCAAATCAGATAGCCCAAAGAACGAAGTCCAATCGAACAAATCAAGGTGAAGGCCCAAATAAGGGGGCCCAAGAGTGCTGTAACGCCATCGCCTAAGTTTGCAAGTCGCCCAGAATCTGAACGAATAGAGTGTCATACGGTCGCCCAGAACTGTTATTCGATTCTCGCCCAAACCTTCAAGCCGCCCAAGGTATCAACAGACATAACGCGTCGTGGTTATCAAGAAATGCAGTTATCAAGGCAGTTGTTAAAGCAGCCCTATCATGTTCCACGACTCAAGGAATTCAATCGAAAGCGGTTGAACGATGAAAGGTAATGGCAGCAGTTAAAAGGCAGTTTTCATGATAAAATGGCCACTACGAAGAAAGTGGGTAGTTATAGGACGATCAAGCAGTTTTTAGAGCAGTTAATCACAAAGAGATCGTCTATGAAGTATAAAAGGAAGAAAGAACATAGAAGCAAAGGACCGAATCCAAAACTCTCGAACAGAGAACATGTAATTTTTATTTCCTTATTTTTTTAGACTTAAACAATTTTCTTTCAGTAACTCGTGTGCTTGTGCCCCTTGGAGGCACGTTGTTTTTCATTTCCAATTGTAAAGTTCATCGCCAATAAAAAAACACCCCTTTTTGGGACTTTTTTCTCAAGAGGTTTCGTCCCTTACACAATCGTCTGATCCTTTTTAATTGTTAGCGACTTAACCCGCGCGAAACAAAAACAAATCAAAATATACGAGAAGACAATAGAATGACACAAGTGTCAAACTGAGAGGAAAAAGGCCCTTATGTCATTATGTTTGGTCATACGAGTAAACCAGCCACGTCTTATCTATGTTTCAAGAACCAATAAGCGGAACTCATTTACGTTGTAAGATGGATGATACATACAAAAGTACAGAAATATTCTCATTACTTATCGACATGAATCAATAGGAAGATTTATACTTTCACTAGTTCGATATTATATAATCTATGTCATTTTGACCGTTCTTTATCACGTAGTCAACCTTTATGTCTTACATACGTTAGGAGGTCTATTATTCAAAGTCGCTACATTGAAAAAAGATTAAAATATAGAAAAAATGAACATAAAGACACAAGTGTCATTATTGAGATGAAAATGATTTTTATGTCATTATGTGTGTAAACACGAGTATAAGTAGCTACGTTTTATTTGTGTCACAAGAATCAATGAGTTAAACTCATTTACGTTGTAAGATGGACATGATACATTCAAAAGTCAAAATATATCCTCATTACTTAATCAATATGAATCAGTAAGATAACTTGTGTTTTCATCAATTCAGTAATGTATAATCTATATCATTTCAATCGTTTTGTCACTGGTCAACATTTTATGTCTTACATATGTTAGGTATTCCATTGTTGGAGGTTACTGCATTGAAAAAAAAAATCAAAAAATAGCAAAAATCAACATAACAGTACAAATATCGTTATTGAGATGAAAATGACTATTATGTTGTTATGTGTGTAAACACAAATATAAGCAGTTACGACTCATCCATGCATCGAAAAATATTAAATGAAACTTATTTACATTGTAATATACACATGATTTGTACAAAAGTTGAGAAATATGTGTTGACCTCTAAAAACGTGCCAATAGGTGTTGACCCTAGATGACGTCCACGTAAACAGATCTCGGTAGATCTTGAAAGGACACTTAATTGGAGATTTGGATATCAGCCATGCATATGCGCATATAGGGGTAAGATATTCACAATCGAAGGAAATTTGTGAAATAAAAAAATGATTCGAATAAGCATTCATAGAGAGGAAAAAATAATGTATGTTTACATGTCTATTGTTCATCCTTTACAATGTTACAAAAGCTGCTATTTATAGTATCCAATCCGACGTGGTCACTGTTAAATCAGATTCACGTGACTCCATCTACTTACCGAAGTGTCATATCATCCAATATTACATTAACAAATACATTTGACAAGGGGCTAGCCGCCCTACACTCCTAGGCTGACACACCTGACATTTATTAATGTGAATGTCACATAAGTTATTCCTAAAGATATACTCATGACTTATTCTAAAGAGCTTCGAGTGTGAAGGAGTTCGACGTAAGGGATGAGAGCACTTCGATCGTGGATCTTGGATGGAGGAGTGCCTCAGCTAGAAGGCAATTTTTGCCTTCTTCTTTATTCTGGATTGACTGCCACGTGTGTGTGCGTGGTGGTTCCATGTGGCCTCCATTGTAAGCTTTACATATGATCTATAACAATAGTCTTCCAAGTCTATGTATAGTCATTTATGCATTACATAGAGTTTGCATTATATTAGAAAATTTTTGGTAGGAGAATGTTTTAATCTTATAACAATATGTGAATTATACATGATGACTAACTGACATACTTATCAAGGCTGCTCATTGATGAAATCTACCAGAAGTGACGCTTATTTTTTCAAGGTTGCGATTATACGTGTTTGATTATGCTGAGGTTGTAAAGGTTCAAAGCAGAGGCAACGTGCTTTGTCAATTTAGACAAGATTGCTGGTGATGAAGCTGAAGCGGTCTCACTAGTTCAAAATTGATGAGCATGAGGCGTTGTAAAAAACTGTGCTGAAATGATTAGTTGTCTTCTTCAATTCCTAGAAAAGACAGCTAACAACGCTTTGAGTTTCCGCACATGCAACCTTCTTCGTATTAAATGTGCAATGATGACTGTAGTGGAAGTCTTTTGTTGCTTAAACACATTGAGCGCATGAATGCGATGCCATGATTTGGGCCTTAGAATGCGAAATGGCAGATGTGGTAAGTGGCTCAGATTTAGTTTCGTAATTAATAGTTGGATGATCTAAATCCCCATCCAACGAATAGGATTGAAGACCGATGCCTATAAAAGGCAACACTTTAGGGCAAAAATCACTTTTACCTTTGCATCAACCTAAATTCATACTCTCAAGATCTTTGTCTTGTTCTTCGCGTTCAATTCAACTGTTAAGCTTTCTTTTATGTGATTTCTAGCCATCCCCATCGGTATTTTTGTGTGATCTTGTAAGTAAATAAAATTTTCTTTTCTAGTTCAAGAGGCTTCTTCACATTCCGAAGAAATGGTAGGAGTTCAGTTTAAGGGATGAAAGCACTTAGGTTGTGGAGCTTGGACAGAGGTAGTGCATCGGCCAGAAGGCAATTCTTGCTTTCTTCTTTATTATGGATTGACTACCACGTGTGTGTGCGTTGTGCTTCCACATGGCCTCCATTGTAAGCTTTACATATGATCAATAACAATATGCTCATTAACTTAATCCACACATGAGTAGGATGGCTTATGCTTTCACAATCTCGATAACATAAAAGCTATGACATTTCAATCGTTTTTTATGACATGCTCAACATTTCTATGTTACATATACTAGGAAGTCAATTATTAGAGGTTATTTCATTAAATAAAACAATTATAGGTGAAAACTTCAAAACGACACAAGTTTTGTTACTGGATATGAAAATGACACTTGTATTGTTATGTGTATAATCATGAGTATAAGTAGCCATGATCCATTCATACTTTGAAAAATAATAAGTGAAACTTAATTATATTATAACACATGGCATGTACAAAAAGTGAGAGATTTGCTCATTAACTTAATCGACACATATGAGTAGGACAACTAGTGCTTTCACCATCTTGATGATAAAAAGCTATGTCATTTCAATTGTTTTTTATGATATGGTAAATCCTTATGGGTTGCATACGTTAGAGAGTCTATTATTGGAAGTCGTTTCGTTGAAAAAAATAAACTACAGTAGATAACGACTGTATTGTTATTTTATGTGGCAGATAATGGCTAGAGTGGCGTTCTACATTTCAAATTACAATTGGAATACCATTATCATCCAATAGTTGCAAAAAAAAAAAAAAAAACACACGCACACACACACTAAATATGAAAATATCACAAACTAAATATTATTTAATGCTATATTCAATAATAAAAGTAAAATGTAAATGAGATTTCTAAGAGTATCTTTTTTCTTTATTCAAATGTAAATGAGATATTTCAAAGTAGATGATATAATAACCAAACTCTTGCTCAATTGCTCAAAAGATACCAAAAATAAGTAAAGAAAATGATAAAGAATAGAATTTTATGTAGCAAGCACGATAGTTGAAGAAAAAAATGAGTAATTTTGATTTTGGGACCTAAAATTGATTTGGGGAATTTAATTGAATTAATTAGGGTATTAAGATCTTTTCCAATTGTAAGAATGTTTATGACATTTGATATTGTTTGTTTATTGTGTTTTATAATTAGAGGCCATTTGATCAAGAAATATAGGGAGGAGGCTATTACCAAATACATTGTTTGACCATGCTGTTTAACAGATTCTCCATTTAATTTTTTCATCTAGACACACCCTTACTATTTTTCTTTCAATAAGCAAAACACTTCAGAATTTGGAAAACAAATAATCAGACCTTTTGTAGGTTCGCAATAGCTACCCACTTATTATCCATATATTTCGTGGGTCCCATTACTCAACCCGACCCCTGGCTAAATTTGACATGACAATATGGAAAAGAAAGAGTAGCAGCACTCAACTTTTATGGAAAGTAACAGATCACAAAAAACGAAGGAAACATAAGTTATCATCTGTGATAATTTTACATGGTCTTTGTAGGATAAAGAAAAAAACAGTTTTTGAAACACAAAAAGTATTTATAACAGAGAACAAGAGAACATCTGATACATTCATACAGTACAAGCTATCCTAAGAACTAGATTCTGCATCACTTGTAAATCTTCTCAGCATAGATGCCTGCATGAGGATTGTCAACAGTTGAGGCACCAACCTAAAACCATAAACGAGGAAACCTCAATTATTTCTGAAGGACGTCAGAAATTAAAAGAAACTCAGTGAAGTGTTAACATATGTAGTAAAAATTCTCGAATTGATATTCGAAGAACAGAAAAGAAATGCAATGGCAGAATCACATGCTATTTTTGGATAAAAAGCACAAAAATGTAAACACAGCCACAACGCCACCAAAAGTACCGTTGCCAATATGGACAACACACGCAATGAAGAGTTCAAGTTGAAAGATCCGAAGATCAGACGTCATTCCTAGCAATTAAGCTATATGGTGACTAGCAATTGGAGCATAATGTTTACAACTAAGCTTCAATAAGTTTCCATTATAAACAAAAGTAAGAATACTCCAGTGAAAAACAGAGAGGCTTGCTTAAACAGAACAATTGATTATTGCAGTACCATGTCACTGCAAATAAGACATAGCAGATCACGGAATCTTTATGTCTACATAGTCCATACAATATAGAAGTTCTTTGGTGGACAAGCCATATAGCAAGTGTAAAAATAAGTAGGTCACTCTTCTCCTATCCCGACCTTTTGTCCTCACAAAGCAACAAGCAGCTACATGATAAATCAAAACATTATTAGAATAATCAAATATTGGCACTTAAGCGAACAATTGCTTATGAATTTTATATCAGAAAAAATGAAGTAAAATGAAAACTAATCATTGTCGATGACACATTTTCTAACAAATATTTTGATTTCAAATCCAATAAATGACTGATAAATAAATGACAAGATAAACTCCAAATTCTATAATGTAGCACTTGTTACAAACAAATGGCAATTATTTCAAACTTAATTCAGTCGTCTCTCCACTATATATAGCCGTAATGCTATGCAAATTAGATTTCATCAGAAACAGAAATAGCGAAGGAGTATAGATGAAACCATTTCTTGTCAATTTGAGTAGTTCTGTTGTAAAACTAAAATTTGGTCAGTCTTCCCCTTTGAAGCCCAATAATTAGATTCCCGGCAACATATCTAAAGCCAGCTGCCTACAGATGGACTTGGAGAATGTCCAGCAAGAATTAATGCAGGTGACCATCACAAATTTGTGTTGTCATTTATTACATTTTCTTTTTGTTCATCTTTTTCTCCTGTGTTCACCAGTGTTAATTCTTTTAGCTCCCTACTAAACTTAAAAGGGAGTAGTCTAGTGATGAACCACTAGGCTCAAAAATTGAAGTCCCAGTTTTTGATGGTGTCACTTGAATTATTATTTTTTATTTTTTTATTATTATTTTTTAATGATAACTCGTCAATGATTAAACTGAATCTCTCTATAGGTCACTGTGTTGCAAGAACGCCTTAATTAGGGTGGTGTGTCTGACACATGTCGGATATGGATACTCCACCAAAGTAATTTTATTTTCTTTCTAAAAAGTATCATATAATTTTTTTATCTCAAAATAATTATTAAATGAGGAATAGGAATTCATATTTAAAAGATTTTAATGAGGAATAACAAGTATAAAATTAAATTAATTCTTTATAAATGAAAAATTTCAAAGAACTTAATTAACATGTCAGTGACGTGTCAATACTTTTTGAAAAATTATGTGTCGACATGTTTGACAGTTATCGCGACAGACACAAATATCTGTGTCAGTGCATTATAGGTAGATCATACCCCATTCATTTAGTGTACTTGCAAATAAAAGCAAAATAATCCAACTTTGAAAGAGAAGATTTATACTGTAGTGACTCATTTAAGTAGCGTAAACAAACAATTGATTACCCCACATAACTAAGATTTCTGCAAGAAGAACAGACATTAAAAAAAAAAGAATGAAAATAAACTCTTGTATTTGTCTTGTTGGATATTGTCCAATACAGCCCCAAAGACATGTTTTTTGCCTATCAATTTTTATTCTTGCTTATAGAATTCCAAGCTTTACGGCATACATAGCAAAACAATTTTAGCAGAGAAGATTTGTATAATCAAATATTAGGACTTTCTCGAGCCAATGAGAGAACTCGTTAAATTATTCCAAACTGGCAAATAAATGGAGCAAAAATATAAACTAACCATTGTAGGAAAGACAAGCTCTTAAAACTAAAAGATTGTAATAAATGACAAAATAAACCTTGAACATGAAACATATCAAAATTCTACTGCAATGCATGAGTGAAAAATAGACAGTGAAATGCTCTCTAAACTTGAGATGCCACTTCAAATTTCATCTCGCACAGTCTCTCCAGAAAAGAAGGTATAAACAAGTAAAAACAGGTGAAGGAGACTGGACAATAAAAAAAATTAAACATTCCGGCAAACGACATGTGTACCTCAACTTTCAGCAGGAGCCTCAGCATCTGAAGTAAAGTTCTGTTCCCCACCAAAGTGAAAGTCTCTACTCTGGTCTGGAGGAATCCATGATATGGGAGTAGCAGCAACTAACATAAAGCTATTCCAATCAGCCCTAACTATCATTTGATTATGTAGAAACGAAAATGTGGCATAAAATACTTAAGGAAATATGTTAAACCCAATATCAAGCAAAGAATGGATCTAGTTAGAAATATTAGACTCCGTTTGTAAAGACTTTATGAACAATTTAATTTATAAATGGATAGAAGAGACGGATAAGTCAATAGTACTTGTGGTTCATTGACATGTGTGGTTGAAAATGAAGTTTGACTAAATTGAAAATGATTTATAAATTAACCAAATAGAGGCTTAGTAAGTCAACATCAATTGTCAAACCTGGCACCACAGCGCCACTCATGTCATTCAAAGTAGCAGATGAAGTACGACGTTTTCGTACATAATTTTCCTCTAACGGTTCAGGAATTTGAAACGAGAACTGTGACAACGTTACACCTGGCTCTGAATGCTCATGCATGTAACTGGAAATAGAAAACATCATAAAAGACTCAAAACAAACAGAGCAAATATAAGATTCTGAAACTAAACAAAAGTAAATATAAGATTCTGGTAGTTAAAATACAGATCCTCCAGCAATTATCTATTCATTTGTTAATGACTATAGAAAGAAGTTACCTCTGAACTTCCTGCATTGATCGTAATCGTTTCCCTGATGGTGCATCATAGTAACTGGTAAGAAACATGTTACCGTACAATTGAAGTCAGAATGAAATTTTCACTTCTCAAACCCTTAAAATAAATCATAAATAAACTAGTGAATTAAATGGAATGGCATACGTACAGATCAGCAAATTTTGTGCCTCCCCTAGCCCTAATTCGTAAAATTCGTTGCCAACCAGGAGGAGGTTGAGGAATACAGGGTTTGTCTATTGCCCAATTCCAGCTGCCATCTCGTACAAGATCTGTTTCCTCTTCACAGGTAATGTCTGGTCGCCATTCACGAGCTGTTTCACAAAGGAAAGGCAGCTCTGCTATCTTTTCTCGTATCTCCTCGTACTTCTCTTTTGTTGGGATGAACCTCCATTTGGAGCATTTGGCACATTGAACAGTATAAGCAGATACATTATCCGACACTCTTTTTGATTTCTTGTTTGAAGAGGAGGGACAAGGGATATTTCCGGTTCCGGTGGCAGCATTTAATGCACTTCCTTCCATTTCCTTAAACAACTGCATGATCAAAAGGAACTTTTTCTCAGTGTTATTTATTTTCTCGAGGATTCGTGCCCAATATTTACGAAAATTGAGCCAAACAAAAACTCAAATCACAAGCCAAAAGAGACAGTTCATCCAATAATCCTATCTAAGAGACTTACAAAACTTAAGCTAGATGTAGCAGAAGCATATAACTTAATTTCAAAACTTATTATAAGCTAGTGTCAATGTAGAAAGAACCCAACATACGAACAGTCCAAAGAGGACTATTGATTGCAACCACATGTCATTGGAATTTATATATCAAAAGAGATGATAATTGTAAAGTTTCATTCCAGAGTAAGTGAGTTGGACTACAAGTGGCTTTATTATTTTCTTCCTTCATTGAGTTATAAATTAAAAAATACCAACATTAAATAATCTCTTAAATACAAGTCGAGTCAAAATTAATGAGCATTCTATTTCATATCTATGCAGCATAAAGGCAGTTATGTCAACGCACGTACGACGAAACAGGAAAACAGAACTCAGCATTTCTAGAAAAACATAAGACATGTGTCGACTAGGTCCTATCAATTAATACATTAATTGGAATATATATTTGATAGGCTTGTAGCAACAACAAATTAATAAAATCCTGGAGCAAATATCTAATAAAGTCTCCAATAGTATAAATCCTGAAGCAAATATCTAATAAAGTCTCCAATAGTATAATCTATATATTTCAAAGTGCATCATAAAGACGAATCTAACAAGTCTAATCAATGAATAATTATTTTCTCATCAACTTGGCAGTGTCACAATGAACAACTTTGACATGTTAGTTATGGGTCTGGATTCTCAAATGTGTAATGTCATATATGATTGTTAGACAAGGAAAGGATTCATTTCTGCAAGTTATGTTGGCTCATATATTTATACAGAAAGAACAATGGCATATACTATAAGTTTCTATATCATGAAAACCAAATAAAAACACTTGCATGATACAATTGATATTATATTGAGAAGACTTGCAATATCATTTATTCTAAATTTGGTACCATGCAAATTCAAAAAACTGTATGGCTTCAAAAAATAGAAAAATATAAATATAAATTCATATACTTCGGTGGCACAACATAAAATCGCTCTATTACATAGAATTATGAAGTGCACATTAAAGTTGACGAAGGCTTTCGACCAACATAGTACAAGCCTTGGTCAGCATTGTCTAACAATTACATAGTCTCACCTTTCAATTAAAAATCAGAAAACTAATAAAAGTTTCCATTAGTTCCTAGCGCTATTTTATTGATGCCACGTCTTCCATTTTTTTCACCAAATCACATTGAATTCAAATCTATTATACCCATGCAGAAACAAAAGTACGAATCTCAAACATTTTGTTTATTAAATTAAGAATTAAGATTTTGTTATACCATCAATTTCACTACAAGTGGAAATAGTTGAGATTGTAAGCATAAAGAAACACAATAAGGACCTTCAAAAATCCAACATTCAATACATTGCACAGTGGTAAAAGACCAAAATTTATTTTTGCAAAAGGCTGGACATTTATTTGCTGTCCTACCTTCACAGAGAATTCATTATTTATCTAGTAGCACATTTTTTGCATCATTCCAATTGATAAAGGAGCGAAAAGGACAAAGATGAACGTTGGGAACTTCATGATTCTTAGATGAAAGTTACTTTTTAGATGAAATTATAAGTGAATTTCGAGATTCTTAAACCAACCCCAAACATAAAGCTGCTTTCAAGATAACAGCCATGCAGTACTTGGCCCAAAAGGCAAATTTGTGACAAATAAGATACACTCAGATTTGAGCCTAGACATGGAAGCGTCGCGAAGATCACAAGGATGACAGAATATACAAATACGGACGAAAAAAAAGGGAAAAACTTGCAGGAAAATAACTCACATCAGGAGGATAAAGCACAAAAATAAAGATTAAAAATTCAGCTGTCTGAAGAATAAAAAAATTATCCAAAAAAAAAAAAGAAAAAAAAAGAGGAAAATCAAAAGAGAAATTCAGAATATTCAATTCCTTTTCTTTAAAAATGCCGAAAGAAGAGCATGCAAATTAATTAAAACCATGTCTGAATAGTCAAGAAAAGTCACAATCATTGACCCAACACAAAAAATCACCGGCATGCATATCTATGTTTGAATGTTGTGTAATTTATAAACAATTCAATTGAATAAAATCTTGATTCGCGGATCCACTTACCGAATTCAATTAAAACAAGTTAGAACACCTATACAAGAACTATACATGCATAGAAAAGTGAATGCGTATGAGAGAGGGAACAACTACCGATGAATTACCGTCGAATATTTGTTCCGGTACGATGGCTGAGTGAGAGTGAAGCAAAGCGAGGGCTTAGGGGAATAAAGAGTAAGGTGACTGATGCACTGTGTGCTAATAGAGATTATATATGGATTTCCCAAATCGGATATAAATATAGACAGAACAAAATAGGTTATTTAATAGATAATAAATACTATGGGTAAAAGTGACACATAAATAATTTTCTTGTTAAAACATGTTATTTTCCTTATTGTTGGAATAATCGGTCCTAACATTGGCCAAACAAAAAGTAAAAGTTCAAACGAAAGACAAATGGGGGACTAAAAATGAATATATAAAAGCAATTGTTTTAAGAATTGAATCGATCGAATTTGGTTGTGAATTCATTGATTTTTTCTTAAATGATTTTATTGAATTATAATGTTTCACTTATTTGGTTTTCGATTTTTTAAATTGAACAGCCAATTTTATCCGATTCGAATTACAACATCCTTTTATTATCATAAATAATTTTTTTACTCAATTTATGGTGTCCTTATAAATATTGTCGATAGATGTACAAAGTTCATCTCTATTAGGAGTTTTGCAAATGAATGATAAAAAGTGTAGACAATTATTCTTTCATAAAGAAATTATTTTCAAATATACATTAAGGCCTTGTTTGATCCCAATTATTTTCTCGTTAAAATGAAAAATATGACCGTTATTAATTACATCAAGTCACTATATTTGACTTTTTATCTCTTGTGTGGGACACATAACATTTTAATATGACCGTTATTCATTACCTCAAGTCACTATATTTGACTTTTTATCTCTTGTGTGGGACACATAACGACTATATTTTTCATTTTAATTTTTACAATAATGTGACTCAAACGGGGGCTAAGTCTTCAAATTTCATCATGACCACCAAACTTGATTTTGATTCATTATGACCACTGTGCTTTATATTTAGTGTTACCATGACCAACAAAATTGATTTTGATTCACCATAACCACCCAACTTCATATAATGTTTCAGTCAAGTCAACCAGTTACCATCACCCAAAAGGGAAAAAAAAAAAAAAAAAAACACACTAAAAAAATTCACGCATAATTGAAGTCAACCAGTTACCACCCCCCAAAAGGGAAAAAAAAAAAAAAAAATACACACTAAAAAAATTCACGCATAATTGTTACTAATAAAAAAAAGGAATATCAGAATCTGAATCAAAAATAAAAAACCACACAATATGGTAATCATTACAAAAACTTAAAAAAATTGAAAAATTAAATGAAAAGCAGAAACAAGTATTTTTTTTTCCCTTGATTTAGGTTTGATTTATATTATATAATATTTTGATTTAGGTTAATGAATTTTTCTAATATTTTTTATTCATTATTTTACGCAGTAATTCTTTTTCTTATTTTTGTTTTTGATTCTCATCCTTTTTTTGTTGTTGTGGTAATAATCATGTGAGAAGTTGTGTGTGTGCGTGTGATTTTGATTTTGATTATTATTATTATTATTTTTTTTGGTGGTAATAATCAGGTAGCTTAATTGAAATTTTATATGAAATTGGATGATGATGGTAAATCAAAAATAATTTGGACGGTCATGGTAATACCAAGTATCAAAATCAATTAGGATGGCATGATGACATTAAGTATAAAGTACAGTAACTATGAGTTGATTTAATCCATCTAAAATTTTTTTTCCCAGAATTGAATAGATCGAATTTGTTTGTGAATCCGTTGATTTTTGGACTGAAGTAGTTCTTAAATGATTTTATTCAATTATAAGGACCGTTTGTTCCACATTTTTCAACAAATATGCATTTAAACATCATATCATGGGTCCTACCTTAGAGTGTTGAAGTCAAATATTGTTGGCTGATTTGATAAAAAAAATATATTATTTTTCCAAATAATGTGCACCGAACGGGGGCATAATGTTTCACTCTTTTGGTTTCTGATTTTTATTTTTTATTGATTGAAGTAGCCAATTTGGTTCTGTCCTAATTGCAACATCCTTTTACTATCGTACATAGTTTTTTTTGCTCAATTTACGGTATCCTTATAAATATTGTCAATAGATGTAAAATGTTCGTCTCTATTAACAGTTTTAAAGATGATTAATAAAAAGTGTAAATACTTAATCGTTTATGAAAAAAAAATTATTTTCAACCATACGTTAAATCTTCAAATTTCTTTTTTTACATGATAGTTTCATGCGATCACATCACAATATTAATTAATTAATAATTAATATTGAATTTCTGAGTCATTTTTACTTGTCCATTAAAAAAAATCCTGTGAGGTCATGATTGTTCCTACTAAATAAGTTATGGATTCAATTCTTCAAATGTATGTTTTTCGACTATTTCTCTTTCATTCACAAGGTATCGAGATATTCACTAGTAATTTGATTGTACTTATTATTACATCAAAGAACTTCACATTCGTAATTAAAGTTCATTATTTACTCAGGATTAAATGTATTACATAAATAGTCAAGAGAAACTAAATCATGTGATCAATTTCACACATAAATTTCACATGATTTAGTCCAATGCATTCCAAAATATATGTTAAATCTTATTACAAAAGTTAAAAATGAACCTTTACTAAAATTGAGACAATCTTATCGAGAGAAAGTGTTCGTCGTTATTTATCGATCATGGACAAAAAAACTTAAATTAAATTATAAATCGAATATTTCTGTGCTTAATAATTTTAGCACTTCTTTATAATATCAAATCAATTCATGAACGCAATGTGAGCTCAAATAAATACAAACAATTTATGGAAAAATAAACTAATATTTTATTTGAAACTTTCGTGAGTACAAATAAATTTATTTGATGGGCAAACACTAATTAAAAAATCTTCCACTGGCACTAGAGCAAGTGAGACATATTAAGTACACCCATGTCAGCAATATGCCCCTTAAAGCTCATAACAGGTAAGCTCTTGAAATGGATCAGCAAATTTTTTCACAAATGCTATCATGCACACCATCACAGTTTCTCGTCGAATGATTTCACTAACGAGGCGATATTTTCATTGAATGTGCTTTCCATGTTGATGGCTTCTTGGTTCCTTTGCATTTGTTATAGCTCCATTGTGCTATCATAGTACAAAGTAATGGGATGTGATGACGAATGAATCAACTTAAGGTCTAACAAAAACTTTCTTAGTCTTACCGCTTCTTTTGCCATTTCAAAAGTAATTAAGACATACTCAAGCTCCATAGCGAAAATTGTAATACAATGATGTTTGACACTCCTTGAAAAAATGGCTTTACCCAATGTGAATACCAAGCTTGAAATGGACTTGCAAGAGTACATACCAGTCTTACTATCAATTTGTCTCATTTTAAATTCGAAATGAGCTGCAATGGATATGGAAGTTATATAGACTTAAAATTCGTCACATGTGAGAAGATTTCCTCATAATCAATGCTTCTCATTGGTAGGACTTTAATGACCAATCTAATTTTAAAGGTCTTCCCTTTACTTCTACACCTCCTTCTCTCTTGTAGACCTATTATTTGCATCCTATGATTTTTAACCCATTTGATTAGTGTGCTTAGATTTCATTTATGAATATATGACACTCCTCCAATGATTAGAGTATATACCCACCATAGCTTTCTTAATCAATGTGGGATCCTCCTCGTGCTCAGTAGAGACTACCTTGAAACACTCTCCATAGAGTAAGTATTTTAAAGGTAATCGAGTGGTTCTCACACGATGTCGAAGCAGTTTAAATTTTTGATTGATTGAAATTTATGATTGTTCTCTCAGTAGTTATCTTGGATCATATCCCTCTACTTTAGTCTCCACCATGGGAGGATTAAACAGTGTCACCTCTTGTATCAACAAGTCAATGGGATGGCAGGTGAGACCTGTATTTGTCTTCTATTATGCCTAGGCACCATTGGTGAAGGAGACGTGAATTCCTCTATAGTAGGTTCATTGTGGATCCTTATTTCATCCCGAAGTACCTTGCTTTTGCATTTCTATATACTTATCCTTTAAGAAGATTACATCTGTACTTACAAATATCTTCTCGTCCTAGGACTATAGAGGTAATATCATCTTGTTATTCTAAGATATCCAACAAATTTGCATACTTGAGACCTTGATTCCATCTTATCCATGTTTCCCTTCAAAAGATGCACCGAATATCCCCATATTCAGATGTCTTGGAATAGACTTACGCCCATTCCACAACTTCATTGGTACCTTAGGGACAAACTAAGATGGAGCTATGTTAAATAAGTATATTGTATCTAGTAGAGCATATCCTCAAAAGGATGTCGTGAGAGTTGAGAAGCCTAGCATGGACCTAATATGATCAATCTATGACATCATTTTATTGGGATGTACCTAACATACTTAGTTGAGATAGAATCCCATTCTCTAATAAGTGTTATATTGTAGCTTGTAGAGCATATCCTCAAAAGGATGTCGTAAGAGTTGAGAAGCCTAGCACGGACCTGATCATGATCAATCTAAGACATCGTTTTATTGGGACGTACCTAACATACTCAGTTGAGATAGAATCCCATTTTCTAGTAAGTGATATTGCAGCTTGTAGTGCATATCCTCAAAAGGATGTTGTGAGAGTTGAGAAGCCTAGCATGGACCTAATCATGATCAATCTAAGACATCATTTTGTTGGGATGTACCTAACATACTCAGTTGAGATAGAATCTCATTCTCTAATAAGTGTTCTTATGTCATTCTGTTGGGGTGTACCTAGCATACTCAGTAGTTGATACTCCTTCATGGATGAAAAGGTAAAAGGACAACTTCTTCGTTCATGAAGGCTTGTAGTATGACCCAAGCAAGATAAGTAGAGAATATGTAGTCCCCGCCCATTACCACAAAATCCGTAAGCATTTTTTATTTGGAATGTACTGCTTTTTGGCTGACATGTTATTTATGTGCCGTGCCTTTGCCTTGCAAGTTACCACAATCTTGACGGATAAGCTTACATCCACCAAGAGTAGATTGTCTTACTCTCGTGTACTAGTTGAAGTCGATACGTCAAAAGACTTGGTTCATTCCGTTTTGATAAAATTGCCAACCAGCAAATTGAT